GTACTTCATAGCATTTTCTTTCTTTTTCACATTATTTTTGCTGTTTTGGAAGCGTGCGCGCAAAATATTTAGTTATTGTATCTGTCAGCTTAGTCCTTGGTGTTCTCGGCTCGGTCACGCCTGGACTCCACCTTGTGCTGTGACGTCATCGAAAAAGAAGCGCCTAGTTCCCTCATTTCCCAGACTTCGTTCAGACAACGGCGCAAGGGAGAACGCCTAGGGACTAAGTTTTGTATGTGTAGTTACTCAATGCCTCTGGGGTAGCTATTCTTTACGATCTATTGAAGTCCAAAGGAACTAAAATCTGGTGCTTCGGAGAAAACCTGTGGTTGGCGTTCCACCGCTTCGATTTTCTCCTCGAAGAACGATTCATCTACAGGAGCCGATTCCTGCTGCACTTGTAGTGTGGGAATCTCCAGAAGGTCTTCGATAGGGACCCCCACTTTTTCTGGCTCAGGTTTTGGAGTTTCCAGCGCCTTCGGGAAACGCGCTTTTCTTGTGACCTCCATAACAACAATCTCTTCTTCAAACTCATCGTATTCTTCTTCCTCTTCCTCTTCCTCTTCCTCTTCCTCTTCCTCTTCCTCTTCCTCTTCCTCTTCCTCTTACTCTTCCTCTTCTTCCTCTTCCTCTTCTTATTTTAGGAGAGTTCTCAACTCGACGCTAAAAGCAGCTGCACATCTTAACCTGTAACCATAATAATAAAAAAGGGTAAAACGTGTACAAACATCTATATCTTTATACTCTAAAAAAAAAACACTCGTAAGGGCATGAATGATTTTGTTGTGTTGTTTCACTTCGTAACCATGGAACTGCTGTTAGTTTTAATTTCCAACTTAGGGGGTGGGCATACTTTAAAGTCTTGTCTTGGCTTCTCTTCTCTCTGTTGTTGACCAACGGACAACTTATTTCGAGTGTAGTGATCCACTTGGTCTTGTACTTGACGATTCGTGCGTCACATCTTCATGATGTGCAAAGACTGGTACGTCCCAATAAGCTTATACGTCATCCGACTCGTACACAGGCCTGACTGAGTCCCAGATCAAGCAGTATGTCATAGAAAGGTACCTTTAAAGTTGAGTCGTGTCGGGAAAGGTACTTACTCTGTGCCAGCGCACCGCACCCAGACATGATGTGATCTACACTTTCTGGGGCCTTACCATACAACCCGCACAACGCCTCACCCTCCGAACTTGTATGGGTCTTCTGACTTGTACATAATCGAGTTAGTAACAGTTGTTCGCACAGCTCAGACATGCCAGCGATTGTGTGTTGGACAGGACTTCTACTCTGTCAGCCACCGAAAGCACCCACCATAGCTTTCAACGCCTCGTCCTGTAACCTAGTTGTAACTAAACTTCCCTGCCATTGCTGATTTTTAACTTCCTTTTCTAGTCGCTCTACTTGACACTTTCGTAGTTCTTTCTTGACTGTAGGGGGATGTTCGAGATTAAGCTCGACACATAGCTATTCCGCAAACCTAACCGCTTCTTTAACAAGGACCACCGTCCAATTTCCTTCGATCGCTCTTCAAACTCCCGAACAATTTGTATGGCCAGGTCTCCATAACGGCAGATTCTAACTGCACCCTTAATCTTCGAGGGTTTATTTTCCATCTCTACCGAACGTAAACCTCTGCCCCCTTCTCTCGCTGTAGGTAAAATATCGCATTCGAGCCACCAGGGTGACCCACCCCCGTTCTAGCTTTAAAATGGTCATTACGCCGATGGAAGTGAGCAAAACAGCAGATGATAAATAAATAAATAATACAGGCAAACCCCGTTAACACGGACACTGAGATGGGGGAGGGGGGCATAAAATTGTCCGTATTAACGGGGTATAAGTATTGAGCGAATTGAATTTAGAGAAAATGTAAGGTCTTTATTCCCCCAGCGACAAGGAGAACTGTCCGTGATGATCAGGATGAAAACTTTTCGCATTTTTTTTTTTTCGAAAAACAACAATTTTATCGCATTTCTCCGGTGTTTGTTGACATGAATGAAAATTACGCTATTGTCAACAGGTAGTGTCTCCAATAATCACCCGACTTATCACACTACATGTAAAACAATTATTCACCTCATGCTCAGCTGATACTGACGAATAATCCCCCTGACAGTCAACAATATTAACTTCGGTGTATAGATGTTATTTTCCACTACTTAATTATATTTGTAATTCGACTGAAATTTCATCTGTGTATTAACCTCTCTACGTTGAACTTTATAGATTCCTGCCGTAGGTAAATCGAGTACATGAAATATTGCATTGACTCCTGGAAAGGTGATATTCCTAGTAGTAAAATTAAGCCGCAAAGCACGGCTTTGCTTGAGCACTATTCACAGAATAAAAACAATTTTGCGATTGCCATCATATCGAAAACTGACTGAGATATAATCCTTCTCCTTACTATTTCTATAATGTATTCGTGATAAAAATTATATTCGTTAACATACTTATTTCAGATTCACAGTCTTCTTGTTAGGGCGTTGCCCCTTTAATGTGTAGGGAGAGGATGTAGCTAAAAAGGAAAAAAAAAATCAGACTGAAACCCACGAAGACGTGACCACGAAACTTAAAAGCTTACTTATGTTTTAAATCATGTTCGCAATGCTTAGATAAACAGGTGTAAGTCGATAGAAGCTAATCTCGTTACTATATTAAAGTTCCTTGCGAAACAAAAGATGTTTGTGGCTGGTTGGACAAGGATTTTTACTCAATCGTCGCCTTGATGGACTACAGCAAAATCATCAATGTTTTTTCCTCTGTAATAGGGAATCACCTTTGAAATAATTAGGGGCACCAACCACCCTTTAAAGGCTTATTTATCCTGAAGCCCAACATAGAGAAAAGGTGTGTGTGCACTTAATGATTAAAACTATTTTAACATATCCGTCGGAAAGGTTCACGAGAGAGTACGCTCACTTTTAAGTATTATTTCAAAATGATATGAGTGATCTGATACCGGCCGTAGGTGTAACTCTATCGATAGCTAACAGTGGGCGTTGAAATAGTAATTGGGCAAGAAAGGCTAAATCAATGTCCACGCTATCGCTATCTCCAAGCTGCTTATTCTTGTTTCCTGTTAGTGAAGCAAAGTATTAAATACAACTATCCTGGTTTCAAGAAAGTTTTTGTAAGAGCTTATGTGATGACCAATAATTTCACAAATGCTTTGACTAAGAACCGACAGGCGACAGTCTGCGTCAGCTCCCACGCGGTAATCTTAGCATAAAACCCAATTATGGTCGGATTCTAAAGGCTATGACCAGATGACGCGACAGAGAAATTGTTCTTTTTTTCTGCCCGATAACAATATAATATATTTTTGAGGGAAAAGTCTTCTTAAAGTAACAAAAGGTTAATGTTTCATGCGTCTTTTTCTTTCCTTGCGTTTCCGACGCCTCTTTTTAAACTCCTCCAGTTTATTGTAGCCCAGCATGGTACGTCCAGTTGGTTGAAAACCAGACTGCATATCTTAAAAAAATAATAAAGTAAAGGAAAACGTACGTATTGGAAGATCGTAGCCGGTCGTCGGTAATCTGTTAACAAAACCGGATCGAAAAAGGAAAAATTAAAGGTGATCCTCTATATCTCAATTAAGCGGCCATGGGTTTTATCAAGGCGGTCGCAGGCAATGTAATCCAAGAGAGCATCTCGGCGCTGCTTATGTAGAAAAGCCAGAGGTCAACTTCTTTTGCATTAGCTATACAACGAAGAAGTGTACATAAAATTATTAATTTGTTGTCGAAGGAAAGAGTGCTGAGGAATGCTACGCTTACAGTTTATATGGAGTTCATCATAAAATCACGTAATTTAACCTTTAAGCACACCGAACAGTATTTGTTTCTATGTGTGTGTGCGTGTATATTACCCAAAGAAGGACTGACTTTTGACCTTCCGATATTCGAGTTCTAGCGTTTCTTTACTGCCCACAACAATACCCTACTTTCTTTTGTCCGCCTTTTAAGTTCTAGTTTTCAATGATCACGTTCTGAAACAGTCTTCGCGAAGAAATATGTCACTGTTGAAATGAAATTTCAAGGGATGGAGTAGTTTAATGGCAATGATGTTATTTGACTGTACATCTCACTTCACTTTTTGTAAGCTTCCACTCCCGGACTTTTACTGTGTCATCCATATCAAATATCCTTTTACAATGTCAATTAGTCAATAAAAGCCTTGACATTTGACACATGAAAATCACTTAGAAGCAACAGAATAAGTTGCATATACTGAGAAGAGTCTTACCAATACAGTAAGGTGCGTGTTTTTGCGACTGTGTCCACTAACAATCAGCACTAAAAGCAGGTGTACACACCACTTGGTTTAGCTCCATAGGTAAGTGGAACAGCTGTACGTTTTATCCTTTGAGCTCTGTCAAGGTTTACATGTTATTTAAAAACTTAAAAAAAAAAAAAACATAAAAAAAAACCACATACACACACACAACTCTAATATTACAAGCCGTGTAGACGCTCACATCAGCACGAACGAAAGAAGAAATTGCACTTTACCGTTTTTTGAGTCTGATGGTGATGACAAGTATACGCGATCTAGTACACCGGGCTATTGTTGTGAGCGTAATGTTCGCGCTTCTCCAACTGGTTACATAATGATGCTCGCGTTATCCATTAAACGAGTCATCTGCGAAGTACTGTGTGTGTGTGTTATGGAATATATGAACATTTTAGGGAAGTTCTAGTGGCGGCATTTTACAGTCTTTGCGCGGAAAAAAAGCTATATTGAATAGAGGCTCCTTCAACTCGCATCAAGCGGTCATAATTCCTTCTATAGATCTCGATGTATTGATCGTTTACTTGTGGGCGAATTGGGCTCAAACCCATCGTATAACGTCTAAGACTAATGAGCATAGCCTGTTAGGAAGGCGCACCACGAAAACATTAGCATCTTTCTCTCTCGCAATCTCACACCTCAAAATTCTTAGTATACACCTGCACAAAACTTAGACTAACAGAAAAAAGTGACAATAACGATCTATCTGAGATGAACTGTGTAAATCTCAGTTAGTTGTTCTTATTTTATTTAAGAAAGTGCTTCTAAAGTAAGGTACTAAATTAAGCTCAAAGCCCTACGTTGGCTTGTTTAATTAAGCATTATGTTACTAATATTCCGTCGTTTGAGGGCTTTTATAATACATAATATATAATAATATATATATAATACTTTTATAAACGCGGAAGTAGTAAAATAATTGCAGCAATGTAGTAGGTAATGCACTCACGTTGAATATTCTATTTTAACATCCACCAATCCTTTTTTTTCTTCTTCTTCTTGTTTTTTTCTGTTATAAACATGGCAATACTAAACTTCAACCCAAAGGTCAATATTTTTAGTCAAAAGAGGCTTAAATGAATTATGATATACTGCTTTAGGCTGGACAGGATGTTTGCTCAACGAATGGAATGATTATACACATGTGACTGATAGGGCCCTTCAAAGTCTACTCGTGAACTCGACTCTAGTCCGTTCATGATTCTTCTTAATTTTGTTCGTCTTCCTCGTTATTTTTTTACTGATCCTTCTGCTTGTTTTACTCGTGGTTCGTGGTGAAATAAGTAAATGAATACCGAAATAAATAATAATGATGACAATGATGATGACGATGATTCTCATCCGCTTGATAGATAGTAGGGTTTTAAAAATATTTTTTTAAGTGAATTATTGATTTATGCTCTGTCTGTATTTTTAATTGTATTAATTTCGTAGCCAGCTGATCTTGCTGCTCATAACTTGGAAGACCCTTCTTTCTTGGAGCAAAGCACTTCGTCACAATCATCACTGTATTTTTCAACCCAGAGTTTACGATGGATTCAAAACCTCTCTTTACCACAATGATCTTATGGCTAATTTTGAGCTCCGTTCTATTGGACTACACTGAAGGATTTCTTTTTAAAGAATCTACGACACGTTCTTCTAGAAGGAAAAGGACGAAACACCAGCAAAGGAAAAAGCGAACAAACCGTGAAACACAAGGGAAGACGAAACAGCAAATACAAAAGGATGTATCTTTAAGGAAAATGGCTATTTCTGTTCTTAACAGTTGGGTACGTAACATAGATATGCCGAGGTCTTTTTGGTGCAATCAATTGTCTTAAGCTTTCTGATACTTGTATCCGTTAAAATGGGCTTTTTAAGGGGCTACGTAACGCCATTTGCTATCTTTTTTAAGAAGCTGGAACGTGTCTTCTCATCAGTTGAATTCCATAATGATACAGCTTTGATATTAAACACTATACTTAGGCATTTTGACTGACTGTTTCCTGCCGCCTGTTGCTGCGGATGGCAAGGATACACATAGACTGAAGGTTATTAAGCAAGTTGGACCAGCAATTTTAAGTTATAAAACTTTACCTACAAAATCGCCCAAAAAAATGAGCATTGTTACTCTCTGTGATGAAATTTGTTATGGATTGCTTATAATAATAATAATAATAATAATAATAATAATAATAATAATAATAATAATAATAATAATAATAATAATAATTTTTTTTTTTAATAATAAAAACAATTTTATTAAAAAACTATTAAAATCCTATTTACAATTAATTCGCTTAAAAAAAAGAAAAAACTATTCATTCAAAAACACTATTTACAATTTCTGTCGATTTAAAAAGCACTTAATTTAGCTTAAAAATAAGTTAATTAAAACTAAGAAAAATTTTTTCGAATTAAAAAAACATTTCATTTCAATAAAAAAAAAAACTGTCAACCTCTAAAATTCAAAAGTTTCTTTCAACTGCTAAAATATAATAATAATAATAGTAATGATAATAATAATAATGATGATGATGATAATAATAATAACAATAATAATAATAATAATAATTAGTAGAGAAACATTGTCGTGGATTATGTTTCAAGAGATATTGAGACATGATCTTTTCTTTGCTTTCGAACAGATGTTTGTTTTAATTCTTTTTAAGTGAAGCACTGCACATAGGTCTTTTTTATGAGTATTGAATAAAGATTTATTATTATTATTATTATTATTATTACTATTACGATGATGATCATCATCATTATTATGGAGATCGAACAGAAAACGTTCACTCCCCTAGTTTTTACGACCACAGGTGGAATGGCGGATCAGTTTGTTAAGTACCACAGCAGACTTGCAGAGTTGATCGCAAATAAGAAGGGAGAAAGTTACTCAAGCGCAATTTCCCGGATAAGAGCTTAAGTGCCCCAGACATAACGCAGGGAATGTGGGAATTGTATTTTTTTTTCTTTTCTTTTCTCTTTTTTTTAATGCTACTCACGTATAAATCGTATTATACTGATCCCTGATAAAAAAAATAAGCAAATAACTAAAAAATAAATAGAAATTAAAGCATATAAAAGTAAAGCAACTCATAGATTATGTTGCCCTCTGACTCCCTGCGCTCTTAGCTTCGGCAGTAAAATGATAGCTCCCCGCATGGGCCAAAGAAACAAACGTGGCTAAAGAAAGTTTCAGCACTTAGATAAACGCTAGTTACTAATATAGTTTTATCGTATTACTTTAGCTGTCTTATTAAATATGATTTATTTATCTATTTATTCATTAGACGGAAACAGAGGAACCATCCAACAGGAACAGAACCTTGAACCCGTTGAGGTTCAATAGCACGTTGTCTGCAAACTGAAGAACATAGTTAATTTTCTTTTTTCTTTTAAGCTTTCTGCAATGCACATGCTGGGCTCACGGGTACACATAACTTACTCACTGTTGAGAAAAATCAGAAATAAAGGTGCTAGGTAATCTAGGGATATTAGCTGTATTATTAACTGGCTTGTAATTAAACATTTATCTATTTCTTTTTGAAAATATAGGATGTGTAAATAAGGATTCGTTTTTCCTATACTTTAAGGTGGCTGAACACAGTTTGATAGGGTGTGGATCATTACCATTTATCGGGGTGTTATTTAAGACTCGTTGCAAATATTAAACTCAAATTGGACACAGACAAACTATATTTATAAGACATGGCAATTAGGTGGAAAGTGAGATTTTCAATTTATTAGGTTTACGAATAATCCAGTCATTAGATTTTTTTACAAATTTGCACACAGTCTTCAACCCTCATAACCCCCATGTTTAGGGCCTGTTTACATGAAGGTAGGGGACCCCAGGTAGGTGAGGTAACCTGCTTAGGTGGGGTAGCCCGTCTGTCCATACAATCTCTCATTTTAATGTGATCACGTTTACGTGTTAGGTGGGGTAACCCGCCACAAGTTACCTCACCTACCTCGCAGTGTGGTTTCTGTAACGACAATAACACTTCTGAAACATACATGGGACTCACAGAAAACGCCTTCGAAACTAGATACAGAAACCACACTGCGTCATTTCGTCACACAAAACACAGGAACTCTACGGAACTCAGTAAACATGTCTGGTCCCTGAAAGACAACTACATTGACTATTCTATTTCATGGTGTATCATTTCATCTAGCTCATCCTATAACAGTTCAAGTAAAAGATGTAACCTTTGCCTCAAAGAGAAATTTTTAATTATCTGTCGTCCCGATCTGTCATCACTTAACAAACGTAACGAGCTTGTATCTTCTTGGCCCCACAGTAACAAAGCGTTGCTACCTAACAACTAAACATTTAAATTTAAATTTTCGCCAACGATGTAATCTAAAAGTATATAGCCGATGGTTTTGAATATTCTTATCATTAAATCCCCTGAAGAGTGAGCGATCACGAAACAGGCTTGTAGGGATGAAAGTGTAGTTATATATATATATCATTAAAATCCCCTGAAGAGTGAGAGATCACGAAACAGGCTTGTCGGAATGAAAGTGTAGTTTTTTTTCCTACTTCCAATATTTATATCACGCTCTACTTTAACGTATCGAGCACTCTACTACGGAAAAATCGAAACACAGACTTCCTATGTATATATATATATATAAATACCCGTTTTCAAAAAGGTTTTCATATAGAGAGATATATAGATATATATATATATATATACTTTTGTTTTCTTGCACGCGCGCCCGTGTGCATTTTTCACTTGTTATTGTCCAACTTGTGAAAAACTCGCTTCAACGATAAATGTTTTCTTTGTCGGTTTTTTTTTTTCCAATTTTAAAAGAACCTGTCGTTTTGAGTTTTTTTGTTTTTTTAAGACAAATGCATGTGCCCTGCGATACAAATTTGCAATGGCGAATTATATAACTGATTTGGGAATGAGGAAAACATCCCGCGAAGCAGCCGATCCGCGAGTTATACGGCGTCACCGAATTGGTGCCATGGCATCTGTAGCAAGTCA